GAGGATTCTAGCGCTATCCCTTCAGCTGATACGAAATTTAGTACCATTTAGTACTTTTCCTACAATTACGATACAAATTTCCAAAACCACCTCCATATCTCAATACAAATATGCATTTGTGCTACCCATCTCCTAAAGCAATCACCAACAGGAACCGCAATAAAAATTTCACAATTCCAGCTTCATCAGTTTGCCCCAAAGCAATCTGTTCCAAATTTAGTACCATTTCGTACAGTTCGCACACTCAGTTGACATTTCCACAACCACCTTCACATATATCGAACTTATTTTCCAACCTTGTTTCTCATACCAAATTTCAAGTTTTTAACTTTATCCGTTCACATCATACTAAATGGTACCATTTTAGAAGTTAAGCACCATTTTAGAACTTTTCGTAACCTTTAAGTTCGAATTCCGAAAAACTCTTTAGTGCATTTATCCTGAAATCTATGAGTGACTAAATTTCAGAATTCTAACTCATTCCGTTTGCCCAATGAAAAGTATTACATATTTAGTACTTTTCGTAACCTTTTGGTCCAATAAAAAGAATTCAATTTTTAGTACATTTTAGTACTTTTCGTAGACCTTTGGTATCAATTCCCAAAAGAAAACCCTGTTTACCAACATCATCTCACACCGCACGTTGTCAAACTTTAAATATTGGTGATCCTTGGAAAATCTTTAGAAGTTCTTATATTCATAGAAAAACTATAGAAGGTCTTTTATCCTCCTATGGGAGGTTTTATGTCAATGGAAGACCTATAGAATATCATCTATCCATAGATAAATTGTAGTTGGTATTCTATATATAAAAGGTCTGTAGAAGATCTTTCATTTACTTAAGACCTGTAGAGTGTCCATTGACGACTTATAGGAGGTCTTATATCCATACAGGACCATATTTCATAGCATAAGCTCTTTTCTCTACAGATGGTGTTTTGGAGGTCTATAGGAACCACGTAGAACGTTTTCTAGCTATAATCCATAGAAGACCTGTGGAAAACCGTAATTGGTCTTATATCCAGAGTAGTAAAAGGACTTACGTCCATGGTTGATCCATCTTTAGAAATTCTATCTCTAAATATTGTTGACCTTCAGAAGACTTTCTGAAGTTTTTCTTTTCATAAAAGAAGAAAACCATATGGTAGGTTTTATATCAATGAAAGACCTATGGAATGTCTTCATCCCACATAGGAACTTTAGTTGGTGTTCTATTCATAAGAGACCTGTAGAAGGTCTTTTATTTCTTTAAGACCTGTAGAGGGTCTTCCCTCCATTGACTTATAGGAGGTTTTATGCCCCTACAGTTCATAGAATGAGCTTTTCTCTTAATACATGATCATGTACATGTGGGAGGTCTTATATCTGTAAGAACCATGTAAAAAGTTCTTTAGCTATAAAATTGCTGCAGAACAACTGTGGAACGTCCTCTGTCTAAAGAAGACCATAGAAGACTATTAAAAGAACTTATGTCTATGGATGCTCTGTAAAACGGATTTCTTTCCATAAAAAATGTTCAGAAGGTCTTCTGTCCATTGAAGCCCTATATATGATTTTTAGTCGATTAAAGACCTGTAGAAGGTCTTCTGTTCAAAGAAGAATGGAAAGAGGTCCCTTGTTCCCGGAAGAGCGGTAGAAGCTTTTCAGTACAAAGATGTCCTGAAGATGAAGGATTTACGGGAGACTTTTTTCCTTTGGAAGCGCTTCTGGCAACAAAAGGCCTACAAAATATGAGTAGAGGATTTTTGGTAGCCGTCTTTCTAAAAATGACTTGTAGTAGGTCTACCGGCAATACAAGACATGTTAAAGGTATTCATTAGAATATTAAATCAATAATCAATGTTAAATTTATGGAGGGTCTTTTAATTCCATAGAAATCACCAGTAGCAGATTTTCTACATATTGAGTATCTGCGGATGGTCTTCTCTTTATATATGACCTGTAGTAGGTCTTCCGGCAATATTAGACGTTTCGATGGTATTCTGGTTATATATGTGGTGTATATGTACAGTGTATGTGGGAGGTCTTCTCTCCATAGACCACTTATAGCAGGTCTTCTGACAATATAAGACATGTTCTCTCCATAAATACCTTTAATTTTGCGTTTTTACTTTTTGGATTGGGACACTCCATGATAATGCCTCCCCGCCAATATAGGCTGTTCTTTTTCACACAAAATCAAGCACTGACAGTGTTTTGTGTTACTAGCCGTGCATGTGTGTGGGTGTGTGAGTGCATGTGTTAGTATAATAGTAGTGGAAATGGGATTTGTTGCAGTAGATTAAACTGACAAACCTAAAAAGCGGTCGCTGTTACGGTTTGTTGACATACATAATTGATGATTGCTCGGACATCAAAAATACAAAATACAGAAAAACAACAACAACAACAGCCACTCCGAAATACGGGTGCATTTTGTATTAAACGATGTCAATATACACATATGTACATATGCTTGTAAGTGTTTACTATCTACGAACATATGTTTGTGTGTAAGTCGTGTGATTTGCATTCAAACATACATCGTCGAATAGATGTAATTTAAGGATTAGTTTGATGAATTTGTTAAAGTTATCATTGATTATCTGTGAGAGAGGATTTTAAAACATTTAAAATTGATAAAATATTTAGTCCGGAAATAAATGTAACAGCAAATACATTTGATGAGGGGCAGGATAAAAAATATTTCTTATTGAAAGCATTCTTGTAGAGTAGACAGTTTTAGGGTTCTATGCATTTTTGACCTCTTGTTAAGGTATAACCAACTTTACATTAAAGCTAATGTTACTACAAATATTGCACCTTAGGAAGTTTGAAGAAAACTGGAAATTATTTCAGATTTGATGAGTTTACACGTCTGTTTTTATTCTTTTATTCAAAATCAATGCATCAAATTTTATTGGTTATCTTTTACAAAAAAAATAAAAATAAATAAATAAATAGATAAATAATTGTGTACATTGGGAGTGGGCCAATGTTGCACATTTTCTCACCTGATCTCGATTAATGTTTGGTAAATACAACCAATTTTAGACTGCTGTCCTTTCCAAGCCACTCGTCCGACAGCTGTTAAAATTATTCCAGTGGCAGCTCATTGTCACAGGCATACAAAAGCATTTTGGTGAGAATTTTCCAGAAAAAAAAGTTATTTGTGATAGCATTCAAGCGTGAAAGTATGATTTCTTTATGTTTTGCTGGAAAACCACAAGTGGCTATCGTTAGAGCACTCCAGCATTTAAATGTGAATTAATCTTTTGTGTCTCGTACCGTCGCTCGTTACGGTGATACTGGAAGCGTAGCCCGACGTCAAGGAGTTGGGTGGAAGAAAACAGCAACATCAGCAGAAATGGTACGAAAAGTAAAGAAGCGACTTGATCGAAACCCGCGTCGCAGTGGCCGAAAAATTGTTCGTAAGCTGAACATATCGCAGTATTTCATTCGGCAAATATTGAAAAATAAGCTCGGGAAAAAGCCATTAAAATTCCAAAAAGTGCAAGAACTAACACCGCAACAGAAAGAAGATAGACTCAACAGAGCTAAAGAGTTGCTTCGCTTGGCCGAAAGTGGTGAACTGTCGAATTTGGTTTTCTCCGATGAGAAATCATTCGTTGTCCAGCAGTCTGTAAGCAAACAAAATGATCGTGTTTACTTGCCAAAGAGGTCAGCTTAAAATGTGCACCTTCGGTTGGCCAGCAGAACTCAAGCGCCGGCCATGGTAATGGTGTGGGCCGCCATAACAGCCGATGGTCGCTCTCCGCTCGTATTTATCGATCGTGGCATCAGAATAAATGCCGAATATTATGGCGAAAATATTCTGAAGGGTATATTAAAGCCTTGGACACGCAAATATTTTGGCCGCAGACCTTGGACATTCCATCAGCACCATCGCACTCAGCACGTGCCACCCAAGAATGGTTACAAAATGAGGCTCCTCGTCTCATTTCCTGCGCACAATGGCCACCAAAATCTCCTGATAACAATCAGTTGGACTAGTGTGTCTGGAGTATTTTGGAAAGCAAGGTTGGCACTAAAAAATACCAAAGTGTAGATCACCTCAAGCGAGCGCTTCGCAGGGAATGGGCCAAAATACCGCTGAGCAACATTCGGGCAGAGTGTGACGGTTTCATTGGCCGTTTGAAGGCCATAATTCTTGCCAAAGGTGACCAATTCGAACAAATCTAAACTTATTCAGAATTATATGCTATTTCCGACATTTTTTGCTTTCGTTCAATAAAATTAAAAAAAATATATATTATGGCGTTTGACTATATTGCGGGTTTTTTATCTCACCCTGTATGTGATATCTTATATGTCAGCATCAATGTAACTGTCAGAACTGACCTTTGTGATTAACGGAAATTCGCATTTTAATGGAATCTTCGTTATTTTTAGGTTAATATTATGGTCTATTTCTAAATATAATTCGATAAATATATATCGATGACCATCAAAATTGGTAGGCTTCTGCACACCCCTAAACTCTACCCCAGTGCAAGATTCCGAGTCGATTGGTCTATAATTGTGACCTCAACTACAATATATAATAATATTTTTTCTGCTTATAGACCATTTCAACTCCGAAATATTTCGAGACCATCTCTCACAACAATAGGCTTGTATTCTGACCTTAACCCTACCTCCGTGCAAATATTCGTGAGAATCGGCGTAGAGCATAAAAATGCGATTTTAGTGACAAATACCAACAATGCAATACTTTATCAAATTTGTAGGCCAATTTACGGATTAAAATGCAGGTATCTTCCTGGTCCCTATCGCTTAATACCTGTGCTAAAATATTTTATTAAATATAGGTATCTATATAGCACAAAATTGTCAACACTTGATTTTACCTGAATGTTTGTTGCTCTGTTTCAGATATTACAATTTTATTACGAATTTCAAAACTCTCTTTGTGCACTTTATGCCAATCCCATCGATCAGAGCTTTAGCTTTTCCCAACGACTGAGTACTTATTTTGCTAAATAGAAATCACAAAAATTACTTGTCAAAATTGAAAAAAAAAAAAAAAAATATTTAACAAAATCCCAAAATGTCGAATAAAAATCGAAGTCCCAGCATTGATAGCAAAACCATACGTTTTGACGAGGAAAATCTTCTTCGCACGAATCATCCCATGGAAAAGGATTACGGCCTTATGAGCATACCCGAATCAAAGACACCATTTCCACGTCATGCCAATCCGGTGGAAGCAAAAGAGCTACAGAGACGTCTTCAAGAAGTTTTAGAACGTGCAAATAATGATCTCTTGTCGGTGGCCAATGTCGATGGTGATGGAGCAAGGTCGGCCTACGATGAAGAACTTCGGGAAAAACAACATGCCGAATTCTTGCGAAAACGTAAACAATTTTATCAATCAGAATTTCTTATTGCCAAACAAAAAATGATGCGAATGGAGATGCATCCACCAGGCCCCTCGGTGGGCAATAATTGGCGTATTGATGATACTAGCCACGGACGTGACCATGCTTCATCAGGTCATACAGCCAGCATGATGGGTGGTCGTTACACTTCAAGTATAAGTCAACATCATTTACCAGCCATACTCGGCTCGCATTTAAATCAAGAAACTTTACGTGAGATTGCCAAAGGGAATGAATCGATATAGCTGGCGGAGAAATTAAACGGTTGATTGTCCATTGGATAATGGATGGAGGTGGTGCTGATACAGTGTATAAGTTGTATGTATGAAGGATTTTTTTAATATTTTGTTATGATCATGGATTTGGTAATTCTTAACACGTACGGCTATTGTCTGCTACATGGAAGGGAAAGTATTTTCATTTATGAGATATATGCTACCTGTTCGTGTTAATTAAATTCGCTAATCCAGCTGAAGTTAAGTGATAGTTGATGCGCACATGTGTGAAATTATACTTCACTAGCTGGCCCCGACCGTGTTGCCGGTCCGAACTTTTAGATTTTAATGCATATTTTTTTAAGCATTATAAATCACGGATCTGACTTATGTAAGCGGCACAATTTTTATTATAATTAATGACTGCATATTCATTTCTAAATAGAAATAAATATTCATGGTAAAAATTAAAGTGAAACGAACCGGACGAATTTCTCTGATGAATTCCCTTGGCCTTGAATTATTTGCGGTTTTGTTGTTTAATAAATTCTTCACTTCTTAAGCTCGCCTTCTGCTCTTTTGATTTCGTGGACGCACTGTTCACATTTCCAACAGGCATTTCTGCTTCAAGTAATTAACTCAGTTCATTCCAACCGGGCAGCATTCTGCTCACGTTTTCTCCCACCAGATGCTCACACACAAACCGATTTTCATATTTCACAATAAATAATCAGAGTTTCACAGCGGGTAAATCAAATAATATTCCATGACTGGCAAGATTTCCAAGAAAATTAAATAAAATGAAATGCGTTAGGCTTCGTGGGTGGGTTCGATTTCATTCGAATAAAATATTTCCAATTTATTTGGTGAATAAGCTTCAAGTATTACAAGGAAGACATAATTGAATATCACGAGGGACTCAATGAACAGCTTTTAAATTTATCTTATAACTAGAGCTATTTATATTGTAAACACAGGGTGAGATGAAAAAACTGCTACCAACTTCAGACCGCTGTCATTTCTAAGCCACTCGCCCGACAGCTGTTAACATTATTCCAGAGACAGCTCATTATATTGTTTACAAGCGTACAAAAGCATTTTGGTGAGAATTTTCCAGAAAAAAAGTTATTCGATAGTGTGATTTCTTTATATTTGGCTGGAAAACCACAAGTGGTTATCGTTAGAGCTCGACGGAAGAAATCAGCAACATCAGTAGAAATGGTTCGAAAATTAAAGAAGCGACTTGATCGAAACCCGCGTCGCAGTGGCCGAAGAATGGCTCGTGAGCTGAACATATCGCAATATTCCATTCGGAAAATATTGAAAAATGAGCTCGGGCAAAGCCATTGAAATTCCAACAAGTGCAAGAACTTACAACGCGATAGAAAGAAAATAGACTCAACAGAGCTAAAAAGTTGCTTCACTTGGCCGAAAGTGGTGAATTGCCGAACTTGGTTTTCACTGATGAGAAAACATTCGTGCACAGCAGTCTATAAACAAACTGCTCATGTTTTTATTGCCAAAGGAGTCATCTGGAAATGTGCACCTTCGGTTGGCCACCAGAACTCATGCACTGGCCATGGTGATGGTGTGGGCCGCCATTCCAGCCGATGGTCGCTCTCCGCTCGTATTAATCGATCGTGGCATCAGAAAAAATGCGGAATATTATCGCGAAATTATTCTGGGGGTGCATTAAAGCCGTAGACACGCCAACATTTTGGCCGCAGACCTTGGACATTTCCATAGCACTCAGCACCATCGCACTCAGCATACGCCACACAAGAATGGTTACAAAGGTTCCTCGCTTCATCTACAGCGCGCACAGGTGACCAATTCGAACAAATCTAAACTTATTCTAAAATTTGATGCTATTTGCGACATTTTGTGCTTTTATTCAATAAAATTAAAAAAAAACAAGTAAGCAAAGGCTACAGTCGAGCGGGGCCGACCATTGGATACCCTACAACACTATAATAAACGATACAGCTTATATAGGCGAGATACTCAAAAGAATTCCACAAGATATTGTGACAAATAATAAAAGAAAACCATCAGGTTTCGTTCTCTAATTTTCGAATAATAGCAACTTTAACTAATTTGCTCATTTCCAATTTATTGGTAGATGTTCCACTTAAATGGTCTTCCTAGATCTGGAACCAATATTTCCCAAAGACCTATAATCTTTCAGAAGTGGCAAAAGATTAACATTTATTATTGGTTTTTGACTGAAACGCATCTATATGAGATACAGATATTTGACTATATTCTTCAACGAAATCAGCGTTAACGAAATAGTCGGAAGTGCGTCTTTCCTGTATTTGTGAATTCTGCAAAATGTCACTGGAATGGACATTTTCGTATTTTGTCTACAAAAGTTGGCAAACTATTTCACACATTGAATATTTTTGGATGGCCATCCAAAACTGCTTGGCTTCTGTAATGTCCGGTAACCCCCATTCAAATGTGCGTGAGGATCGGGCGATAATTACGACCTGCTGACAATTTTGCAGATTTTTTGGTCCATTCCAACCCCTAAATATATGGCGATCATCTCCAAACAGAGTAGGCTTCTATTCTGACCCTCATCTTATTCCCATGCAAAATTTCGTAAGGATCGGGCCATAAATGAGATCTGTATATGATATCCTGATATCCTAACTACTTAGTTTTGTTAGCTGTAGAAATATTACCAAATGTTTAATTCAAAATGAAAATATGCCAAAAATATGACAAAATTGAAAAATATGAGAAAATTTTACAAAATCAATATTTTCATCTTTAGAGAGATATTTTTATGCGATTTTTTAGACGTTGTTTCTTTCCTGCCAAGAGGCCATTCTGAATTAATGAGAACTGTCGAAATCAGTTCAGCCGTTCTCGACATATAAGAGATCTTTCAAGCATATCTTCTTTGATAGACATATATATCGCACATATTTTGCTATATATCCGATTTGTTAGATGTTATCATCAATGTAAAGATCAGAAGTAACCTTGTCATGGCTTTGTGATTTCGCCGGGATTTAAAATATTCGCGGTTTAATGAAAAATGTTGCATTTTTTCAACACAAAATATATGGTCTATTTTACCCGCTAAATATTATCCGATGACCACCCAAATTGGTAGGCTTCTTCCCCGCCCTAAACTCTAGCAACATGCGAAGTTCCGCGTCGATTGGTCTATAATTGCGACCTGTATAGATACTGCAAAATCCGACAATTTTTCAGTTTTTGGTCCATTTCAACCCCTAAATATTATGCGATCATCTCCAAAAGAAATAGGGTTCTATTCTGACCTTAACCCCACCTCCATTCTAAATTTCGTGAAGATCGGGCCATAATTGCGACCTGTAGAGTGATTACAAATTAACATGGACAGACGGACGGACGGACATACATAGCTATATCGACTCAACTCGGCGAGATAGGAAGATCCATATATACTTTCCTATGTGGGAAATCAATATTTCGAGGTGTTATATCATTTTTGGCCCAATCAAACTTATAATACCCCCAACACATAGTGTTGTAGGGTATAAAAATTATATAAAAATTATGGCGTTTGATTTTTTTTCAGTTTTTTTTAAGTCACTCTGTAGTCTATCTCTGCCACCTTGTAATATTTATAGCTGACTTAGTACGAATTTCCAAAATCCACTTTAGATTCTTCTTCTTCTTCTTTTTAGCTTCGTCTGGTCGTTGATTTAGGTCGGTCAGTTAGTTATTTATCTACTCTTTTACACCATTCAAATTTTGAGGCAAATTTAAGAGGAAAATAAGACCAAAAATTCTAACCTTGACATCCATCTACGTCTTTCAACATGCTTGGGTACAGGTGATGATGTTCTTGACTATATGGTGAAGGAGTTTCTTACCTTGTTTTTCTCTGCAATTTGAAATGTCAAATCCTTAGTTCCAATTTTCGATTATTCAAAATATATATATTCTAACACATATAGGTTGGTACTTTGTAAATAGTGTACATTGACACACATATAAACTTACATATAGAAATGTACACATAATTAACGTGTGTAAAGAATTTGTAAAATGCTATTTTATAATGACATGCAACGGCCGTAATGAAAATTGTTCGCTTGTGGCTAGCTGATATTTAGGTTATTATCACCAAGAAGATGCCTATCAGTGTTGTTGTCGTTGACAATTAATTATTTCAAGGACATGTTGGCATGCAATATAAACAAGTGCATGCAAGGACGTTTACTGTGGCTCCAAACAAACAAACATATGTATATACTAGCTGAACCCGGTGCGCTTCGCTACCCCTTTTGATTTTATATGCATTCAAAATTTTTTTTACGAATATATGTTGGTTAAAAAAAAAAAAAACAAATTTAAAAAGTAAAAAAAAAATTATTGCACTACTTTAATGCGTAAATAACCAAAACCATTAGAAAAGCAGTAACATGACATACATACACGAAGGGTTTGTCTTTCGGATTTATTTATTTCATAGCAAATACCAAGCGTGCAGTAAACTGCAATCTTTTGAAGTTGAGTGGCATTTCTATTGCAATTAGTGAATACGAGATAGCAACATACTTCGCCGTAATAAGCGTATTTCAAATCAATTGTTTTTGTTGTTTTTTAGTGTTAGCATATCCCAATCTGATCCAATTTAAATATAATTAAAAAAAATACTTCTACCCCAAACTCCGCCACACCTTTCATATGTCGTTGAAATTGGTGCGTCAGATATGTGAAATCGGCCGATAATATATATATGGAAGCTATATCCAAATCTTAACTGATTTCCAATTAATTTGTCACATTTATTATTGTAACCAAATTCCGCCACACATTCTGAATTTCATTGGTATCGGTCATATATATCATGTTTGGTGCATAACATATATGAAATATATGTTAGCTATATCCAAACCTCAACTGATTTCAATATAATTTGGCAATTTTTTCTGGTGCCAGATTTGGTCTCTCTCGCTTTGGGTGCATCAAATATGTGAAATCGGCTGAGTATATATGGGAGCTATAATCAAATCTGAGCGTATTTGAATATAATTTGTCAAATTTATTTTTGTACCAAATTTAGCCACTCATGCCGAATTTCGTTGGAATCGGAAATACGTATCGTGTTTCGTGCATCAAATATGTGAAATCGGCGGAAAATATATATGTGAGCTATATCCAAATCTGAACCGATTTTAATATAATTTGACTAATATATTTTCTAATCAAAATCCCGTTACATATTCCAAATTTCTTTGGAATCGAACATACATATCGTGTATGGTGCATAAAATACATAAAATCGGTCGAAAATATATATATGAGAGCTATATCCAAATCTGAACCGATTTTAATATAATTTGACAAATGTATATTTGTTTTAATTTCCGCTACACATTCCAAATTTCATTGAAATTAGAGATACATAGCGTGTTTGGTGCATCAAATACATGAAATCGGTCGAAAATATATATGGAAGCTATATCCAAATCTGAACCGA